TCAGCATCAAGGTTGATGAACTGCTGTTAAAAAAGGCAGTAAAATTGAACATGGATTCTAGACTCATGTCAAAACTTTAAAATGGAGTGAAGGCTCCACTTCCAGAGAGCTCTATTTACACACACCAGGTGACTCCGATTTTAAGCTCACATACATTGCCAAACTGGCTTCCAAAGTTCCTCCTACAAATTGCCAATTCCCTCACACCTTCAACATGTGCAACATTATTTCTTATAAACATTTGGAGGAAACACTGTTCTTTAATTTTACAATCTCCTAATGATTAAACGGTTGGGCAATCTGGTGTAAGTCTATTAACTAGTATTCTTTCTGAGAATTGCCTACTAGTTCTGCCTGCCAATTTTTCTACTGGATCACTGACTTTTTTTTTTTTTAATGCTTTCTGTTGAAAATTTTATGATTATAGGTCTTAATTTTACAATGTGTCACAGACACTTTCTCCTGATTTGTTTTAGGACTTTTTTTGGTGTGGGATAAAATTTATATTAAAAATAGATATTTTACTTTTATTTCAAGAGATCTTTCTTGCACACAACTTAAAAAATTTCTGACCCAAAATTAATCCGCTAAGATTTTTTATTTTACCCAAAGTAGAAATGTGACTTTTCCTTCCTGTTTCAAAGAGCAGACTATAACAAAACCATTAATGTGTGATTAAATGAGAAAGAGTTTGACTTCTTCAAACTTCCCAGAGTCTCAAGACCGCAAGCTCTGGGCTCTGGTGGACAAGTGTGCTTACAGAAGCCCGGAGTTCAAACCCACCAGCCCTCTGCTGGAGAAAGAACGCAGTCCGCTCCAGTAAAGATTTACTGCCTCAGAAACGGTGTGGGAAATGTTTGGTATTTTTTTGGTTTTTTAAGGCTGCAAGTGGAGGGGGACGAATCTTCCCGGAATTTACTTTTTTAATGTTAACTCGGTGGCCATTAAGTACTTCATCACCGCAGAAAACCGTATTTTTTTTTTTAAAGGAAAAGTTGTTTTAAGTGTCTCTAAATTCTCCGATCTCTACAAGCGACTTCCTCTCATACGAGGAAACATTTCTTCAATTCGCAAATTGTTTATTAAATCCTAGAGCAATGAAATATTCTTTTGAATTAACACATGATTATATTTTAACAATAGATATTTTCAACTTGTATGTAGTCGAATTTATCACTCTTTTCCTTTAGTGTTTCCAAGTTTATTGCCATACCTAAATTACAAAAACTCCTCGACTTTTTTGCCAGCACAGTTTTGGGTTTCTTTTTTATATTTAAATATCTTGCCCATCTGGAATTTATGTTGGTATTAAAGAGGGAGGGAAGGAGGCAGCTTTCCAGATGGCTGGCTATAGTCCCGGCGCCATTTTACCAAAAGTTTGTCTCGAGTTCTAAGAAGCAACCCCGTATCGTCTCTTTATACAGGTCTCGGTCGGGCTCTCCCTGCCGCCTAATGACAGCCAGAGAGTCCTCAAGCCCGCGCAGTGTCCTATTCCGGCCCCAGGGTTGGGGGCTACCAGCGCAGGCCCAGCACGTTTTCATGAGCCGCAGTCCGTCAGCCTGAAATCCAGCCCGGAGGGAGGACGCCTCCGAACCCGCCGATCCCGTAACGAAGTCACCTCCCTTCCCGTCCCCTCGCTCTCACCCCCGCCCTTTCCTTCCCTCCCAATCCTTAGGCCCACCCCTTTCCTCACAGTCCGCAAGGCCCAGCCTCTCCTCCAAGTCCACGTTAGTCAGCCAGCAGGAGGCTGATGTTTCCGCTTGAGCGATTTGAATAAAAAGCGTATCCTCCGTTGTTTGCATAGAGGCTGGATTAGTCCCTCAAACGCACAAAACCCACTGCCCACGAGTAGATTCCGACCGACTCATAGCGACCCCGTGGAAACTGCCCCATAGTGGTTGGAGGCTGTAAATCTTTACTGAAGCAGACTACTTGATCATTCCCCAGAAAGCAGCCGGTGGGTTCGAACCCCCGACCTTTTCGTTAGCAGCTGCATGCTTTAAACTCTACGCCTTAATTGTATGAGGAGGGACTTGCCTTATTTGCGTGAAGCCGGTAGTCACTTCCTCTTCGAGCTGGCTTTCGCTAGCCTTCCGTTTTCCTTTCAGTCTCCTTGCCTTGTCGCCTTTCACTGGCTGCTATGGCGTCAGTGCTCCCGAAGCGACGGCGAACGAATGTCGTATCTCTGACCGGTGCGACTGCCCCATCTGCGCCGGCGTCAGCGCGCTTTCCCGGAGTCGCCATCTACCTGGCCGAGTCGCGCATGGGCCGCAGCCGCCGTGCCTTTCTCACCCGCCTGGCGCGCTCAAAAGGCTTCCGCGTCCTCGACGTGTACAGGTGCGACCCTCGCAGTTCCGCAGGTCTTGGTGCAGTGATGCCGGACCCGCGCACAAGGCTTTTTGCACAGGGGCTGCTGCCGCCCGCACCAGTAGTGGTACCGCTGCTGCTCACCGTCGGATTGCCGCGTTCTGAGTAACCACGGTGGTGGTGCTATGGAAGTTTGGGTGACGGCTTCACCTCAGTGTGTGGGACACAAGCTCTTGAGTTCGGCTGGTGAGAGAGAGCTATATCATTATTATACATGCTGTAGCACCAGGTGGAGCCAGAGGTGCTGGTAATGAAATACGGTTAAAATACCGGTGGAAGGAATTTTGCAGCTGAACAGCTACTTTCACATAAGGTTGTTTTGTTTAATTCTGACATAGCTCTGTAAGGCCTCTTTACAGCTGAGGATATGGAGAATCAAGAGATTGAAATGCTTGCAGGCAGTTGATGGAGGTGGAGGGGCACCTGAGGTGTTTGGATTCCAGGTTAGCCCTGGCACTGATCACGTTACTTTATCTGCACCTCAATTTCCTCTCCACTTGACTGCTAACCAGAAGGCTGGTGGTTCAAACCCACCAGCCACTCCTCGGTTGGACAATCTACTTCTGTAGTGATACCGCCTCGGAAATCCAAAGAGGGGTAGCTATGAGTCGGGTCCAACTAGACGGCACATAACAACAACAACAACAACAAAAGGGTGCTAGGAGTTTTGCTGACAAGGTGGCTAACCAAAAGGTGATTATTTGAACCCATTAGTTGCTCTGTGGGAGAAAGATGAGGCAGTCAGCTTCCCTAAAGATTTACAGCCTTGGCAGTTCTATTATGTCATATAGTGTCACTATGAGTCTGAATCGACTTGATGGCAATGGGTTTGTTTTGGCGTATTACCAGTTAGGGTGTTCTGCAGATCACTTTCAGAGTCAAATGAAAGAATAGACACCAAAGGCTTTGTACCGTGTGGGTGTAAGGAGTAATTATTAATAAATAGTAGTTTTTGCTAGCCACCTTTCTGCCTTGGGTGAGTACCATCTTGCCCTGTATTGACTTCTCAGGAGGGTCTGCTGTCTTCTCTCTGGGCAGGGCTGACAGTGATTTGAGTGAGAACCTCCTATAGGGTGGGAAACAAAGATTGCAAGGAAATGGTGGCTGCAGAGAAAAGGCTAAAAGCAGCAGAGTTGGGAGTTTAGGTTTGAAGTTGGGAGTGTGGACAAACCAGAGCCTTGCCCCTCTGCACCATTTCTTTGACTTTTTTATTAAATATTCCCAGGAACTGCTTCAGTGCCAGACCAGCGCAGAGATGATGATAACACTTGTTGTTGTTGTTGTTATGTGCCGAGTCGGCCCCGACTCATAGCGACCCCTCCTTGGGTTTCTGAGGCAGTATCACTACGGAAGTAGGATTGCCCAAAGCTCTGGTAGCATAGTGGCTAAGACACTTGCCTGCTAACCAGACGGCTGGCGGTTCAAACCCACCAGCCACTCCTCGGAAGGAAGGTTGG